ATTTTAAAAGCAAAAAACATGGAAAAATACGGTTACTTTGGGGGATCCACTTCTCTCTTCTTTTTTTATCCCATACTTGTATGCTGGTAGTGCTGCTGTCGCGACCCACCTCAAATCCTAACCCACCAGCCAAAGGCCAATCAAGGACATCAGAAGAATTTCCAATGAAAGTTACTCTGATATGCGTGGGAATTTTTTCCTCCAAGAAATGTTTCAATTCAACATTTTCTGAGAAGCCCACATCACAGGGTTGGACGGACACAGCGGTTGAGAGGCGGCGAGATTTGGAAAGCAAGTAGAGATAGAAAGCAGGAATGAGATGATAATAACCACCTGTTTCGAAGAAGCCAGGGCAAAGAGAAACCATCTCTTGAGTTCCACCCGACCTGTGAGTCCATGTCACAGCCGCAATTCGAAAGTGGGTGAGTGATCTGCTCAGAGAGGCAACTTAGTAGGACGGCTCTCTGCCACTAAGGGACCATCAGACTCAGTCAAAGACGAGGCGGCCAATGAGGTGTCCCTTGAGCCAAGACTCTCATCCTGGGTTCTCCAAGAACCCTCGCAATGAAGTTACCCAAAAAAATCAAGGAAAATATTTACTTTGAGATAACATTGGCTTGTGTCTCCCGCCAAGATTCTGACTGTTCCCAAGAGAAAACAACATGCTACAGAGCAGGCATAGGCAAACTTGGCCCTCCAGATATTTTGGGACTACAACTCCCATCATCTCTAGCTAACAGGACCAGTGGTCAGGGATGATGGGAATTGTAGTCTCAAAACATCTGGAGGACCGAGTTTGCCTATGCCTGCTACAGAGGAAACCTTGGTCCCACATCGCATCCGTGGGGCTTGATGAACAAGGGACATGGGGTATTCTAGAGTGTCAAATAATAACCAAATGCCTGAACCAACTGGTGCCCAATTATAGGAAGCAGACTTTCTGATGGGCTTTGGTTTTAATTCCAAAAGGTGACCTCGTTAAGGGCAGGGCTGGGCAGAAGAGACATTGAATGTTAGTTCAAAGGCTGAGTCGTTACAAGTTTCAAGACTAGCTTCATACAGCATTCAGTGGGCCTTTGGCCATTCAGAGCCTGAGATGTCCTTTGTGCAGGGGGGAAAAAAGGAAGGCGTTTCACAGGAATTGTAGATTCAGCCTTAGTCCAATTACTGGGGGAAGGTGACTGCCTTGTTGTTACAGACCAGTTAGTCAATGCTAACCAATAATTAATTAGGCTGCACTCGCAGGATCCATCATTGCAGGGAAATCCCCCTATACAACAGGTAGTATGGAAGGGCTACAGTGATACCTCGGGTTACATACGCTTCAGGTTACAGACTCCGCTAACCCAGAAATAGTGCTTCAGGTTAAGAACTTTGCTTCAGGATGAGAACAGAAATCGTGCTCCAGCGGCGCGGCGGCAGCAGGAGGCCCCATTAGCTAAAGTGGTGCTAATGTTTCAGGTTAAGTACGGACCTCCGGAACGAATTAAGTACTTAACTTGAGGTACCACTGTATTTGGCAAGAGCTTCCCAATGGGATAAAGCGAAAGTAAGCTCCCAGTCTGCAGAGTCCCATTTGCACCAGGCTTTTTGGTGGCAAATGGTTAACTAGAATCTTACTTCATTGACTTCTATGGGACAGATTCTCTGGATGCTGAGTTCTGTGGCCACTGTCGAGTTTTACGCTACCACAGGATTCATGCAGCCTAACCCAACCTTAAGGCTGCAATCTTGTACACACAACAAGTTTAACTGGGTGCAGCAGGTCTCAGTTCAGAGTACCACTGCTAATCTGTTTGCATCAGAAATCACGGTTCTAGGCTAGAAAGAGAAAACACATTTCTAAGAACCCCTGCTCCCAATAAAATAGTTTACGAGGGTCAAAGCAGTTCACGGTTGAGAATGAACAGCTTCAGAGCAACAATGCTGCGGAATCAAAGCAGCGTGCCAGCCAAGAGCCATTCCTTACCCTGAAAAGACCGCATAAAAGGACAGTATGTTAATGCGCTGCTATGCAAAATCTAAGCCTGGCCTTGCAGCGCACGATGCATTTCCCACACTGCTTGAAAAAAAAGTTCTCACCCCTACAGTCATTTATGTAGAAAGAAAGGCGAGCGCTCTTGCCGGACGAATGGAGGGGCAAATTATAAAAATAAAATGAACAAATAAAACCGGGCTGGAGAGTGACCTCACTTGGGAGCAAGTTCCTAGAGTTACAGTGAATAGGGGTCACCCGAGGTGGCTGTGGCCTGCTTGTCTAGCCACTGACCACGTGACTGAGCTGTGCCAAAGATATAGAAGTAAATCAAAATCAAAACGCGCAGATATAAAACTCCTCCTAGTTTACTCAGCACCAAAAAATGCAACCACTGTCTCCTCTAGTCTCGCAGCTCAATAAAGAACAGTCAAGAAACTAAGCGGTGCTTATGCCTCACTGCAGTTTATACTGTGCTAATTTATTCATGCGCTGACCAAAGCATTCAAGCTGCGAATACACCACGGAGTGTTATTTTGAAGAGACAATCCGGGACTGCAGAATCTCAGTCTAACCATTTCAATGCAGAGAGAGAGAGAGAGTTTGCTTTACGACCACCAATCTGTTTACTCAAGCAGGAATGCAGCAGGTTGCACTTCTGACACTAAAAGGTAGCAGTTTTTGTTTTTAAAGCTCTTTTTTGGGGGGTTCTCTCCAATATGCTGATATGCTCAGCAGCACACTTTCCCAACCTTTAGCAGAAATGCATGGCAGAGACACGGGAGGTGTAACAGGAAGAGAGATGCCAGAAAATGCACTTGGGAAACTGCCATCTGTAGGTGGAATTGTTCTTACGCAGTGGTCAGCAACCTAAGGCCCATGGGCCACAAGCGGCCCATGGGGGTCGTTTAACCAGCCCACGAGCCGCCCCCGAACTGAGCTGCCCACTTGCCAAGTCCCCGCACTCTGCGCTAAACCAGCGCAGCGCGGGGACTCGCTTCCGCGGCACCAGGAATCGCATCTGTGCAGACACAGACGCCGGAAATTGCGTGTGCGAGATCCGGCCCACAGAGGGCTCTCCGCTGGAGTGAACTGGCCCAGGCGAGGTAAACCTTGCTGACCCCTGTTCTTAAGGTATTGTTCAATTTTGTCAGCTTTTATTTTTGACACCCTGGTCTCCTTTGGGACAAAGCGCAGGATGCAAATTTAATAAACAAACACACACACCACGCATTTTGAAGGGGTATGTGGAGCCCTCGCTATGTACATGCCAGGCACATTCATATATATGAGCTGGGAGGAGACTTGAGTCTCACTGCTCAGCTTAGCAAATAATTAATAATAATAATAATACTCCACCCATCTGACTAGGTTGCCCTAGCTACCCTAGGTTTCCAGGGTAGAACATTATGGAAGGAAAGGAAGCCCTTTCCTCTCCCCTCCTCAGCACTGTGGAATTTGGTTCCACGGCTGAGTAGGTGATTAATCAACAGGCGCAGTAGCTTCTGTTCATGCATCATATATGAGCCTCAAGGGGCCTGCTTTCGAGACCAAAACCACGCTTAATTGAAACCACCGGATTGTTGCTAGGCTCATTCCAGCTATCAAAATCCCATCAATTAAAACGTGGCAATTAATGTAATTTCCTAGCTGCCTAGCCACCACTGCCAAAATAAAGCCCACAGCCACCGTTCTTTGCACCTATGCCACTCTTGCTTCTGGTCTGGCAATGGATGAGGCCAGCTCCTGCTTGCCCTATGGCCAGGTTTGGTTTTGGGGCATCCAGTTGCTAATCAAGGACGGCAACCCAGCTCCCTCTTCTCATCAGCACAAGGGTTTTCGCCTGCACAACAAAACGTGCTCCCTCTCCTCTCCCCAGGCTTGCCCTGCACCCTCTCAAAATATGCTCCAGAGAATTGGGAAAACCCCCTACCCCAAGAACAGATTGGGGGGGGGGGAGGCGTTTCACTGTGCAAGCAGAAAACCACATGCTGACAGCACAAGAAAGTTAGCACTACACTGGATTCCACCCTTTGTGATCTGGGAAGACTTCAATAATTGAATTTGGGGAGGGTGGACCTTAATGAAGCCCGTTCCCTGAACTTCACCACCGTTTTATTTTTTATTTTTATTATTAGTTTTCACATATTACATTACAATACCGATGCACCAAAGCCAACACCATTTCCTCCCCATCCCCCCCCATACATTTAATATGCCTAGATTAAAATGTGAAGTACTGGATGGAATAAAAATTAGTAAGGAAAGATAATATGAATATATAGATGATTTGAGAAGATTGTAGAATGCAAAGATTATTGTATAATGCGGAGGAAATCAAGTGAGGGCGGAGGGAAGTGGGAGGAAGGAGAAAAGAATAATATGATGGACTGAACTTCACTACTGTTGACTTTATTTCCCAAATTGTGCAGACTTCTAAGAACGGTGGCTATACGACAGTTCATGAAGGTAGAGGGAGAGTGGATCCTGCGGTCACCTGTAATCTGAGCACTGGAAGACACTGGATGCTTTCAAGGAGAAATCAGGCTCCCCAGATAGAGCAAGAAGGAAGTTTGCATGTGGATGTGACACAAGTTCAGAATAGAAGACTCAGGTATGTATCAAAAGCTCCTGTTCGTCTCCTCTCCTCTCCCTGCAGCCCCATGTGCACTCTCAAGGCTGAGGGACCCTCCAGAGCAGATCTGGGGGAGGGAAGGTGTGCAGAGCAAGGAGAGGATGTCCCATGGCACAAGCAAAGCTCAGCTGATCTGGACGCAACCCTATGAAATGGAGCTGTTTCCGAAAACCAGAGATACTTCACAGGGTTAGAAGGTGCCTGTATTGTGCAAGTGTGCCAGGCCAGCAAAAGCCAGACTCCTTTGCATATTTTTGCTGCTGCTGCTGCTGCTGCTGCTGCTACTTAAGAGCCAATTCACAAGACCTGGTTTAAATACCACTTTGGACCAAACAAAGAAAGTCTCATCCATATGGGGCACCACACCTGCCAGCATGATCAATCAGACAGGGAATTGCCTCAGCTCAGAGGTAGAGCGTTTGCTTTGCTTGCAAAAGGTCCCGGGTTGTGCAATTTGCAGCATTTCCAGGTAAGGCTGAAACCCTGGAGAGTGTCCGCCATTCAGCACAGACAGTTCTGAGGCAGATGGACCAAGGGCCTGACTCTGCGTTCAAGGGAGCTTCCTGTGTTCTTCCTAACATGTTTTAATGTTAACAAACTCGGAGATGGGCAGCCAAGGACGATGGTACATGCACAGGCTTCTACACCCTGGCTGAAACAACCAGAACACTTATTTATTTGTATTTATCCAGCAATATTTATAAACTGGTTAATTAAAGAGCTCGCAAAAAAGGGGATGGAATAGGATGGAGAAAGCAAGCTAAAATCCAAACAACTGTCAATGAGACACAGATACAAAATCAATACACCTCTAAAAATGAATCCAGGTAATTCCAATAAATGGTGAATAAGGGGCCCAAGAAGAGAAAGGCCACATTTAGGGCTGGGAGTGTCGAAACCCTGGAAAGCCACTGCCAAACAGTGCAGGCAATACAACTAGAGGGACCTAATGGTTTGACTCAGTGTAAGTCAGCTTCCTATCAGTGTTAGAAATTCCCCAGGCTCCAGGTGTGTCTTGAGACTGGCACAGGTCCAATTGCGACCATGTGGAGATATCTGGATGCCAGGTTGATGACCGACATCTCCACCTGGCTGGCCCCGCCAGCTTTCTTAAGCAGATAAGCGGGAGAGCTAATTTATTGCATTTATATCCCACCTTTTTCTCCCAAGGAGTCCATGGCTTAGCTGCCTCCCTACAACGACCCTGTGAGGTAGGTTAAGAGACTGCGACTGGCCCAAGGTTACCCAGTGAACGTCATGACTGAGTGGGGATTTGAACCCTGATCTCCCAGGCCTTAGTCCAGCACTCTAACCACTACACCACATGGGTTTCCTAGAATACTTCTGCTATGGGGCAGCTATATAAATTAAGTAAATAAATAGGGGGAAAGCAAAATGTCCCTTAGAGAAGGATGTGAAATATTTTCTGTGAAGCTCAATTTGTTTTATTCTGGATTGCTTTATTTGATGTTTTAATGCGTTGCAAACCGCTTTGAGATTTGTTCTTTAAAATATAAAGCAGTACAGAAATGAAATGGATAATAATGAACTTCACTGGAAAATAAAAAAGGCGCCTAGATAATCCGTTGTGACGACTGCAATCTAGGTTTAAGGCACCATTGGCGATTAGTTTGTACCGCATTTTTCGCTCTATAGGACACACTTTTTCCCCTCCAAAAATGAAGGGGAAATGTGTGTGCTTCCTATGGAGCGATTGCAGGCTTGCTCTTAAGCCTGGTGAGCGTGTGGGGTCGGTGCGCACCGACCCCTCTCGCTCTCCAGGCTTCAGGCAGCTATCCCCGGGTTTCAGACAGCTATCCGCAAGCCTTCGGAGCGCGGCGGGAACTCCCGCCGGGCTCCGAAGGCTTGCGGATAGCAGCCTGTTCTGGGGGCTGGGGAAGCTTGGGCTTCCCCCGTCCCCATCCCCGCAAGCTCTGGGAGCGGCGGCGAGGTTGTACGCAATCTTGCCACCGCTCCTGGACCTGTTCTGGGGGCTGGGGGGGAATAATTTTTTTTCTTTATTTCCCCCCCAAAAAAACCTAGGTGCGCCCTATGGTCCGGTGAGCTCCTATGGAGCGAAAAATACAGTATATCCGAGTTTCTAACACTGCTTCCTATGTTCCTAGTAAAATATGATGATTAGTAAGAATGTAGGAGGATTCTGGACTTACCATCAGGATTTATTCCGAATGCTTCTGCTGGTAAGGAAAAATCTCCCCGCATATAGAAAAGTAGCACATCAGGAAGGAAGTTTGAGCACTGGTCTCTCCCCTATATGCTAGGTTACCACAAGCAGGGGGCTTTTTTATATGGATTGTGTTTGTATTTACAGACAGGATGGCCCTCTATGCCTGTTGTTCAATAGAACAGCCTCCACTGTATAAACAGCCTTTCCGCTGCCTGCACAGGTTGCGCCTCGCAGAACAAGCCTTCACACGGCCCCAGATAGCCAAGCATGAAGAAAAGGTTACAGACCAACAATGAACAGTAAAGACAGCAACAGACAAGTTAGAAGATCAGAGATGGTGCAAGGGTAAAGCCAGAACGGCCTAGGAATAAGAAGAGGGACTTGGATGCGAAAAACTGTTCCGACAATAATAAAAGGGAGAACGGGTCCCAGACACAGAAGGCAAAATAGGCAGCGCATGCATCCATGGGCAAGAATATTCTGTTGACTTCGCTGGTGCTATCTTGTGCCGTCAGGATTCCCCCTGCATCCACAGCATGCGCACGCAAAGCACTGAGCATAGCAAGTGCTGCTCTAGCACATCACAAATCACGGCACCATGCCAGCACTGCAGTGGCCCAGTGGAGGTGTCGCAGATACACACCAGGGCAGATTTTCAGAAAACCGCTGTTGTAGGTCTGCTCTCTCAAAAACACACACATTTGAGCGGCGGAAGTTAAGCCTAAAGGAACTTCCGGGAAACTGTGTTGAGTGGGACCACTGGCCTGCCTAGCTCAATACTGGCTACACGGACTGGCAGCAGCTCTCCTGGGTTTCAGGTGGAAGGAGCCTTTCCCAGCCCCCTACCTGGAATCGCAGGGAACTGAGACTGGGATCTTGTGCATGCACAGAAGGTACAGAGGGACTCACATCTGGTGCTCCAGGTTAGCGCTGGAAGATTTTTCCAGCCTGAGAGCCACATTCTGCTTCTGGGCAAGCTTTTGGGGGCCACATGCCAGTGCTGGGCTGGTCCAAGGGCAAAGGTGGATGGAGTAAAAAGTGAATTTTACAAATGTGCATTTTCTGCACATACCTCTCTACGCTCCACCCAGGCAAGCAAAGAGGAACTGTGAGAATTTAAGGGCACATTCCAGCCAGACCAAAAACACACAGAATGCAAAGCAGAGTCCAGTGAGGGTGTGTGGCTTAGGGACAAGAAAGGAGATTCCGACTACACATTAGGAAGACCTTTCTGGTGGTAAGAGCTGTTCGACAGTGGAACGGTCTCCCTAGGGAGGTGGTGGACTCTCCTTCCTTGGAAGTTTTGAAGCAGAGGTTAGATGGCCCTCTGTCCTGGATGCTTTAGCTGAGATTCCTGACTACATAACCCTTGGAGTCCCATCCAACTCTATGAATTTCTTAATGTTCCAAGGACCAGGTAGAAAGGCTTGGAGGGCTATATTTGGTGGCCAGGCCTGAAGTTCCCCATGCTTGCTCTAAGTTGTGGGGCTTCATTTTTTTTTGAAAAAGACAAGTGATGCTGGAATAGCAAAGAGGTGTTTTTGCTCAATTTTCCAGCTGGAAGGAAGGGAAAATAACTTTCCTAAACTCTGCAAAACTTCTTGTATAGATGAGTTGCAGTAATACAAACATAGGAATTCCACTACACATAGTGAGGCCATTCAGAGCCCAATAACAGCTACTCCCACCGGCTGTAGCTCTCAAGACAGTGATGGCCAAACTTGGCCCTCCAGCTGTTTTGGGACTACAATTCCCATCATCGCTGACCATGGGTCCTGTTAGCTAGGAATGGTGGGAGTTGTAGTCCCATAACAGCTGAAGGGCCAGGTTTGGCCACCACTGTCCTAAGAGGTCCCAGGCAAAAGTCTTGATCTATGCTAGAAGGTAATCTTTTAACTGAAGGTGCAAGGGATTTAACCTGGCATCTTCTACAGAGCGAGCATGTGCTTTACCACCAAGTTGTGGTGCCTTTCCTAGGAAGTATACAATGTGCAACTGAGAACTTCCTATGTACAATATCTGTGTGCTGTTTGTGGGCATCGGGACTTCCCTAATTCTCCTCCATGTGTTGGGGAAGACTCATCGCTCACCTAATGCGAAATCCCCACACGGTCTTCCTTCACCGAGGAGGGTAGGCTAGCCTATGTGTATATGGGGCTTTTGAGTCACACAGGCGGCATGCAGAACTATTTAATTAAAATCATATGCTTTTTATTTACTCGGGCAGGATGAAAGACAAATCTTTTTAATCCCAAAATTACTCCTAGAGAAAGTAATTAGTCCTAGTAAAACCATATTCTCCCTAGCCTGAGAAGAAAACGTAGAGGGCTGGGTTTGCACTTTTAATTTTTTGAACTCATGTTAAGTATGCAACTTTTAAACAACAAGACAGGTTGCAAAAGGCACATTGCATTGCTGGTTCTCCCCAGCACGTTTTGTAGCTTCCGTGCATATGGCTGTGAAGTTTGGGGCTCTTAAAGCGTCCCGCTCACAAGCGACGGTGCCATGCTTCTATTTTACCACTTTTACCACTTAAAGCACACCAGCTGAATATGTATGCTATAAAATAAACCAACACTTGAAGAGATTTAGCTGCCTCAACCTGGGTAAGTGAGGTGGCTCATTCAGGTCAGCGTGGAGGTTTTTTGTACATTCCCAAACAAATAAAGGGAGAAAGCTTAATCATGCCAGGTAAACCATCTGCATGTGAGACAGCAATGTGGTACAATGGATAACGCACTGGACTTGGACTATGGGAAAACTCAGAATCAAGCCCCTGCTTGGATATGAAGCTCACTTTGGGACCTTGAGCCAATTACACTGTTTCTTCCTGCCCAAAATCACATCTAGATAGATCAGACAGACTTGACCTCCTTAGAGTTAATATGCCTTTGCCCCCACCTTACACCTAACTCCTTATACAGTGGTATAATTCGTTCCGGAGGTCCGTTCTTAACCTGAAACTGTTCTTAACCTGAAGCACCACTTTAGCTAATGGGGCCTCCTGCGGCCGCCACGCCGCCGGAGACCGATTTCTGTTCTCATCCTGAAGCAAAGTTCTTAACCCGAGGTACTATTTATGGGTTAGCGGAGTCTGTAACCTGAAGCGTATGTAACCTGAAGCGTATGTAACCCGAGGTACCACTGTACTGCCGCTGCAGAAATTCACCTACTCCAAAAGCAGTAATTCCTAGCACAAAGGTTTTTATACATTCAAAGGCCCGAGATAATTAAATCAAACTATTGTGGGTTTGAAGATGGAAGTTAAACAGCTACTGGC